AGACTCTGTCTCAGAAGAAAAGAAGGAGAGGAGAAGAAAGGGAAGGAAAAGGGAAGGGAGGGAAGACAGAAGAGAGAAGAAAGGAGAGGGGAAAAAAGGAAGAAAGAGCGAGGGAAGGATGGATGGAGGGAAGTAAGGTCAACGAAGAGAGAAACCTACTTGAAAACTTCAGAACATTCTTGGCACAAAAGAGGCTATCAAAATTGAAATGTTTAATCCTAGGTACAAAGACAACTTATATACTGCAGAAAATGAGTTTGCTGTGTTTTTATATCTTAAAAAAGAAGGAAAAAAGGCAGCTAGGGCAGCAGTTGTCTTTTTGGTGGTGCTGGGCTGGAACCCGGGGCCTCCTGAATGCTGAGCCCACGCTCTCTCCGAGCGGCACTCCCTGCCCGGCTGACACACCAACAAGGAGGAGTCTGGCGCCCAGATCCCCTCCCTGACACAGTCTGCTAAAAATGAATCAGAAAGACTCCAGGTCAGGGGTGTTCAGGCAGACGCGGAGAAGGGTGCACCTCCACACCATAATGTCTATTGTATGAGGTAAGTATATTTAACCATGTTAATACTTTTTTAATTTTTTGGTACTGTGGATTGAACCCAGGGAATACTGAACTACATCCCCTGTGTGTGCACATGTGTATACGTGTATGTGTGTACATGGTAGTGGGGAACCAACCCAGGGACTCTGCACTAAGTTACATCCCCAGACCTTTTTTTATTTTTTATTTTGAGACAAGATCTTCCTAAGTTGTGCGGGTGAGGCTTCAACTTGCAACCCTCCTGCCTCAGCCTCCCAGAGTGCTGGGGTTACAGGCATGTACCTCCATGCCCTGCTTAACCCATTCTAACACACTGTGATTCAAAAGTGTGATGAATAGGTTTTCATCCCACCAGATGACATGTGCCCCCTGCCCTGTCACTGGCACATTACTCACCTGATGTGGAAAAAAGAAAAAGGGGGAAATGAAAACAATATATAAAACAAGACCACCAAGACACTCTCTCAGAATCACACACTGCAACCAAAATCCTGGAGATACTTTTTAAATAATGGATCCCGGCTGAAAAATTTTGTATATAGCTTGAGTTCATCCCCCAAAGGTTGGTATATGGGAAGCCTGCTCCCCAGGGGAGAAGCAAGATAAGAAGTTGACCCTTTAAAATACAGAGCCTTCGGGCACAGTAATGCACACCTGTGATCACAGCACTTTGAAGACTCATTCAGGAAGATCATGAGTTCAAGGCCAGCCCGAACTACACAGCAAGACCCTGTCTCCAAAAAAAAAAAAAGAGCAGGGTGGTGTACACCTGTAATCCCAGAACTCAAAAGGCTGAGGCAGGAGGACTGCTGTGAGTTCGAGGCCAGCTTGGGTTACATAGTGAGAGCCTGGAGAGAGAGAGACAGACAGACAGACAGACACAGAGACAGAGACACAGAGAGAGAGACACAGAGAGAGAGTGCACCTAGAGGAGGGGAGTGCATCATTCCGAGCATCACCTTTGGAAGGGATTAAGTAGTTCTCAGGAGACCCAGTCAGTTCCCATAGAGACAGGAATTATAAAAGAGCAAAACAAGTTAAACAGGGCTCTGTGTTTCCTGTCTCTTCCACGCGATCTCCCCTCTCACAGTGCTTACCTGATTCCATCCACCTTTAGGCCCTCACCAGAGGCCGGACCATTGAAGCCAGTCCATCTTAAGACTTTCAGCCTCCAAATCTATGAGCTAAATAAATCTCTTTTCTTTATGAAGTTCCCAGACTCAGGTATTTTATAACAGCAACTGAACAAAAACTAAAACACAAAACTCCAGCTATGACCAGTCACATAATGACACACATTCTCCCCAATACTTATGCAGAGAGAATGCAATCCTATTAAAAACCTTTGTCACACCACACAGGGTGGCACACGCCTGTAATCTCAGCTACTTGGGAGGCTGAAGCAGGACCATCATCAAGTTCAAAGACAACCTGAGCAACTTAGCAAGATCTTGTCTCAAAATAAAAATATAGAGAGATGGGAGTATACCTCAGTAATCGAGAGCCCTTGGATTCAGCCCCAGTAGTGAAAAAATAAATGGAAAATAAAAACCATTGTGGTTAAATATTGGATACAGAGATGGAGTCTGGAATGATGACAAAGTTGTAGGGGTGGATGGCGGTGACAGCTGCAAAACCATGTGAGCACAGTCTATGGTCTCCTTTATTTCCTTCAAAACGGTGAAAATGGCAAAGTTTTATCTTTGTTTTATCAGAAAAATTTAAAAAGTTCAAGGCCAGCCT